TTTTTCTTGAGGTGGAGTTTTGCCCTTGTTGCCCAGGCTGGAGTGCAATGGCACGATCTTGGTTCTCAACTTTGCCTCCTTGGTTCAAGCAATTCTCCTGCCTCAGCCTCCCGACTAGCTGGGATTGCAAGCATACCCCACCATGCCCGGGTGATTTTGTATTTTTAGGTAGAGATGGGGTTTCACCATGTTGGTCAGGCTGGTTTCGAACTCCTTACCTCAGGTGATCTGCTCACCTTGGCCACCCAAAGTGCTGGGATTACAGGCATGAGCCACCGCTCCAGGCCACATCTGACTTTTGAAAAGGACTCAGTTATAACAACCAGAAGCATCTCTAGGCATTGCCGAAAGTCTCTGGGAAGCAAAATTATCCTCACTGAATGAGAAAATTAGTTGAATTGTATTTCAGTGAGGAAGACAAATGTAATAAAAATGATAAAGATGGCAAGTCATCAAAATATCTTCTAAATTTTTCATTCATGATAGTAAGTTTTTAACTACAGAGAGTAGACAAAGAATTGATGTAGTATTTTTATATATATGAATATTTATATATATATATTTAAATTCTATTCTGAAATTTATTTATTGTTCTTTCTCTGATCTTAGATTAGTAACTTACTTCCCCTGTGACTTTTATGCCTGTATCCATATTTACATTTGATTTAATGTTAATATATCACAATTTCTTTTGCATTTTCTTTTAGGAAGAAGAAGAACGCTATTTATTTGTGGCCAGTTCTCATATTTGCTTTCTGTGGTACTATAGAGTTAGGTAAGTAATGCAGTATTAAATGGGTAATTATGCTTTTAAAGAGTATTCTGCTTCAACTTTTAATTAACCACAAGTAGATCATCTATATTATGGTTTCCAAATAACTTTCATTCACCAACCAAGATATTCTCAAATATACTGCCAAAGAAATACTGAAGAACAAACTGTAAAAATAAGAGCAACCACTGTTTGAGCATATATTGTGTCTACATGTTTATATTTTAATATAAATTCTTTCTTAATTTTTATAATCGCATAAATGTCAGTCTTTATAGATGTGGAAACATAAACTTGGATGGGTTAAACAATTTGGAAAAAAATACAAAGCTACTGGCCAGGCACAGTGGTTCACACCTGTAATCCCAGTACTTTGGGAGGCCGAGGCGGGCAGATCACAAGGTCAGGAGTTCGAGATCAGCCTGACCAACATGGTGAAACCCTGCCTCTACTAAAAACACAAAAATGAGCTGGGCGTGGTGGCACATGCCTGTAATTCCAGCTACTCAGGAGGCTGAGGGAGGAGGCTCAGGAGGCAGAGGTTGCAGTGAGCTTAAACCCAGGAGGCAGAGGTTGCAGTGAGCCAAGATTGCACCACTGCACTCCAGCCTGGGTGACAGAGTGAGACTCCGTCACCAAAAAAAAANAAAAAAAAAAAAAAAAAAAAAGCACAGAGTTACTAAAAGATAGCATTGAGATTTGACAGGGCTCTTCTGTTACATGCATTTCAAAAATCCTTTCTTTGTATTGGATAGCTTTTCAAACTCATTACAACATGCAAGTAGCCCAATATAAGAAGGGAAAAGTGGTACACAAATACATAATTAACTGTGTAAAAATCATTGATTAAGTTAGAAAAGTATCGATGAGTCAGAATATGCTGTGGTATCATAGTCACGGCAACATCCCACGCACTGTGTAAGATATAAGGAACTACGTTATGTGGATCCTGACCTCAAGATGCCTGGAAACTACTTATTTCTTTTTATCCACATAACATCCATTCCCTTAGGGAAACCATTCTTCCCTATTCTGTGACAATATTGTTAATTTCATGTGATGTATACGGACTAACTCTACCAACCCACAGTTTCTTGGTTATAGTTATTAGTTGAGGATTGACACATATATGATCCAGGCAGAACCAATCAGAATACTCAAGTCTTCAGTAAAGCATGATTGTTGCTGATAATTTTATTGTCCTGGTTCACATAGTCCCTTAAAGTCAGATGGTTCTGCAGTTTATGTGCAATTTTATCCTGAGCTAGACTATCAGTCCTAATAATACCTAGGCTTCAGCAAGCACCACCAGGAGTACATGTTTACCCAGTAATCTCTGACTCACTGCCACCTTCCCAGAGTCTTATTGAGAAGCCGGGAGAATTGAATCTCTGCTACTCAGGAAACTGGTAGGCTTTTGTCCTTGTTGGCAGTTTCAGAAATCCCAATCACCAGCTTCTTCTTTCCTCTATGGGTTCTGAAACAGTTGAGAAAGACAGAAGGGCAAGTTTGGGGATAACAAATTCTGATAGAAGATAGGCACCGTGGCTCATGCCTGTAGCCCTAGCTACACAGGAGGCTGAGTTAGAATCACATGAGCCCAGGAGTTTGAGGTTACTGTGTCAAGGTTACGGTGAGCTATGATTATTCCATTGCACTCCAGCTTGGCTGACAGAATGAGACTCTGTCTCATAAAATAAAATAATAGGCCAGGCATAGTGGCTCATGCCTGTAATCCCAGCACTTTGGGAGGCCGAGGTGGGTGGATCACCTGAGGTTAGGAGTTCGAGACCAGCCTGGCCGACATGACGAAACCTCGTCTCTACTAAAAATACAAACAATTAGCCGGGTGTGGTGGCGCATGCCTGTAATCGCAGCTACTTGGGAGAGAGGGCAGGAGAATTACTTGAACCCAGGAGGTGGAGGTTGCAGTGAGCCAAGGTCTCACCACTGCTTTCCAGCCTTGGCAACAAGAGCAAAACTCCATCTCGATAAATAAATTAATTAATTAAAATAAAAAAATAATAAAATGAAATAAAATATTCCTGGTAGAGTTGAATTGTAAAATAGGACTTGCCCCTTTGGCCAAATGGGCTACTTTCTATTGTTCCAACTAGAGCTCTTGGGAACCATCAGAGAGGATAATCTGTTGCAATAAGACTGTATGTTTGTGTCCCACCCCTTTTACCCCCAAATTTTTATGCTGAAACCTAATCCCTGATGTGATGGTATTTGGAGGTAGCGCCTTTGGGAAGTGGTTAGGTCATGAGAGGACAGTCCTTATGAGTGGGATTAGTGCTCTTACAAAAGAGACCCGAAAGATTTCCTTTCTCCCATGCGAGGACCTAATAAGAACATAGCACCTTGATCTTTAGACTTTGCAGCCTCCAGAACTATGAGAAATAGAGATTTGTTGTTAAAGCCATCCAGTCTATGGTATTTTTGTTATAGCAGCCCAAACTAGGACATCTGCCAAGAAGCATTTAATGGATTACCAATTTCATTTACACACATTGAGACCTAAGAGCTAGGGCTAAAAGAGATGGGCCTCCAGGCTACCCTGATCTAGATATGTTTTCTCCACGTAAGTAAGAACAGAAAGAAAGGCACCTATCCAGGAGGCAGATTAGTCCAAAAGAGAACTCCATAGAAGCTAAGAGTTTTTCTGTAATATACATTGTAAGAATTTTCAGTCTGTCACCTATAAAAGTATCAATTAAAGAATAATAACGAGGCCTAGCATGGTGGCTCATGCTTGTAATCTCAGTGTTTTGGGAGGTCAAGGTGAGAGGATTGCTTGAGCCCAGGAGTTCAAGATCAGCTTGGGAAACATAGCAAGCCTTGTTTCTATAAAAAATTTGCCAGGCATAGTGACTTGCATCTATAGTCCCAATTACTTAGGAGGCTGAAGTGGGAGGATCACTTGAGCCCAGGAGTTCAAGACCATCCTGTGAAATATAGCAAGACCTGTCTCTACAAAAAAAAATTAAAAATTGTCCAGCATTGTAACTGGGTGACAGAAGCAGGGCTGTGGGGGTGTCCCAAAGACCCTTACTGTTTCTCAATTGGGTGTGTTTTCCCAGGTCTTTGGGCCTCACTCACCTGGTGGTGTGGTGAGCTCGTTCAAGTAAATATCAGACCCAGAGAGTTTTGCAGGAAGTGATTTATTAGGCAATGAAAGAGAAAGAGAAATAGAGAAACAGAGAAAGTGTGAGCTCCCACACTGTCGTGGGAGGGGATCTAGAGATGGAGTCCATATAGGTAAGGGAGTAGGGGGGATTTTAACCCTGGAGTTTCTCCCACCCCATTCAAGTTCTTGTCCAGTGAGAGGAGCTTTTCCAGACTTCCTCTGGAGTGATTGATCTTTGACTCCGATATTTGATTGATTGGCTGTTTGGCCCACAACAGAGCCCCTCCTTCCAGGGCCTTTGGTGGTCTTTTTAAACAAAGGAGCACACCTGAAATTTTACCTAGCCCACGTGGGAAAGTTAGACAAAGAACTCTAGGTGTCTGGATGGGGAGGTGGATGGAGGCATGGTGCTGGGAAATTTTTGCCTTTGAAACCATGCCCCTTGTGGACCCGGGAAGAGAAGTTAACATAGTCCCTCAGTGCCCCCTCTGAACAGGAAAGTCCAGCTGCTGTTGAGACACAGGCATCAATTGCTTTTTAGCTACTTCCTGCTGAATTGGGGCATAGAAGGGGCCCTGCAGTTGAGGTTTCCTCCAGAGGGGAGTCTTTCAGGGGTGCAGGTTGATCCAGAGGTCCAAAATAGAGCTTATGAGCCAAGGACATCGGGGTTCCATTTGCAGGATTATTTGTGGCCTTATGGTTTTAATTCTAGAAGAAATGAACGTGACAAAAAGGTTAAAGATGAGAAGCCCAGAAGCCAACAGTAATAGAATGGTTATAAACAGGATTAGGAGAGGATATAACCAGGACAGCCAGTTGTTAAAAAAGCTTTATGATTCTGTTTCTTGAAGATCTTTAGCCCTGTGTTTGATTGATCCCTGAGTTTTTTAACTTTAAGACAACACTTAATTGGTTTATAAAGTAGCAGCATTCTCTTCCTAGAAAGAGACAGGTTCATTCTCCTTCTGCTGTTAGCAGATTTGGGGCCCTTCTACTTTGAAGAGCTATGGCAGCTAGAGAATTAAGCCGTTTCTGCAGAGTGAGCTGCCTCGGCAGAGAGAATTAGTAGCCTTTTTCATGTTATTATTTGCCTTCTGAGATAGCTTATATTAAAACTGAGTAGTGGTAGTAACTTTTCTAATGCCAGTACCAAGTTTTTCTATTATTCTGGCTCCCCGCTCTCCATCCAACTATGAAAGGAATAATTGGAGTTTGAGAGTCCGGTTACAGACAGCAAAGTTAAGAGTAACAGTCCTGTTAATGCCAGGATGTAAATGAGACTCATAAGCAGTGACTCTCCTGGGATTTTGTCGGAAGAGCAAACGTAGATCCTCTAACAGCTTGCAGGTGTATGAAGGGTCGTTTCTGGGAACTTCAGGCTGTGGAGTGGAGGGCCTATGATTTTCTTCAGGAGGTGCCCAAGGCTTCAGCTGAGTGTGATGAATCCATGAGTCAATTCCCACAACCTTAACTGCCGTTGGGGTAGACAGAATAACCAAAACTGATCCTTCCCAAGATGAGCCTAGAGAGGGAGAGTCTGAGGGGAGAGAGGTAACAAGCAGCAAGTCTCCAGGGCAGAACAGCTCTTTCCCTTTTTCCCTAGGGTGTCCTTCAGGTAAAGTTCTAAGAGCCTATTGGTACTTAGCCAAGGAGGTGATATCTTGTATTAGATTTGCTGTTTCCTTGTCTAATACAAGATCATTAGTAAGAAAGGGCTGTTCATAAAGCATCTTACAGGGTCTGAGTCCTATTTTCTGAGGAGAGCTCCAAGCCTGCAAGAGTGCTATTGGCAATAGAGAAGGCCACGAGAGGTGGGTTTCCTGTGCGGTTTCTTTAGGTGTCTCTTAAGACACCTCTTTTCGTCTTTTCCACT